CTGGTGCAAATTACTGACCTCTGTCATCATTTTAAGTGGGGGAACTTGCACAATCGGTGGCTGACTAAATACTTTTTTGCCCCACTGTATATACTACATGTTGTCTTTATATTATATAATGTTCGACAAAGTCTAGAGCAGGGGTCGGCAACCCTAGGCACGAAGGGTTAACTGATAGCACGACCATAGCTGGACTGGCCATCGGGCATACTGGCATTTGCTCGGTGGCCCGATGATTTTCTTTTTTTAATAAACCATGAAAGGTGGTGGATTGGCCAGATGCTGGTCGGTGTGTAAAAATAACTCAATTATTTGGTGGTGGCTATGGCGCTGCTTCCTCAGAGTCAGTAACATTAGCAAGTGGTGGAGGCCAGCAGGTGGATGAGGGAAAGGGGAGGCAGGAGGAGAGACCCGAGGCAGCCACCGGTCCGAGTGTCAGGTGAACTGAACTTCAGGTAAGAAGTTATGACCTGCAGTCTCTCTGGGTCAGATATAAACCAAGTTTAGGTGGAGTTTGTTTTCGTTGTGCTGACTTTTTACAGTCAGTTACAATAACTCGTACTGCTACTAGCTAGCATGACGGAGTTTCTATACAGCTGGGTGGGTGCTATGATGTTACTGATAGTAAACTTTATTTTATTCATAAGGTTAGTTAGTAGAGTTGCCAACCGTCCCGTACAAATGGAATCATCCCGCATTCAGAGAAAAATATTGCGCGTTTCGTATTGAGCTGAGAAGGAACACAGTTTGTCCCGGACTTTACTCGACTATGATATGAACAATTTAATCTACCCGCTCTGCATATTATGTAGTTTCTACACTATATAGTTACACTTAACTTTAAAGCATGAGGCACTTGTGTTAAATACATGGAAGATGCTTACATAAAACCAAGAGATGGCCAATCCCTTTTTTTTCAGTGTACTTCCTTGTCATTCCTGACTTCCTCATGCAGTATCACAGTTCCTCTCTTGGCACCCTATCACGTGCTTTCTCTTGAGTTTTTTGTTTATAATTTTGTAATTTTTAAAAAAAATAATAATTAGGAGATGGATCCAAAACTTTGTTCCTTTTTTATATTGCTTTGGTCAGTATTTGTCAGCATCAATTGTGTTTTACTAGCACAATGTGTGTGGTCTTACAGTTCCTTAGGTGGCGATATGTGATCACATGTTAAGTTCTTGCTAAACATAATGCCAAATACATTCAGTAACATTCAGAATCAGAATCAGAATCAGTTTATTGCCAAATGTTGAGCAGGTTTACAACATTAGGAAATTGCTGCGGTGCTTCAGTGCAAACATAGTGTCATAAATTGCG